TGTATATGTTAAGCTCCAGGGTTAACAATTAATTTTAAGTGTTGGGGGAAAGTTAGTTGATAGAGGTTGGATAGATGTTAAAGTTAACTATTCCAAACAGGTTAGAAGTCAGAGAGATAGTTGGCAATACTTCTCTGATTCATTTTGGTTTTGACAGCCTGGCACCCAAAACCACCAGCACTGGGTTTCAGAGAGAGAAATGTTGACCATGTTTAGATGTGATCAAAACCACTGAACTTGCACTTAACTACAGGAAAAAATAAATACACTATATACAGTATTTTAACAAACGTGTGGCGCATTTCCCTAAATGCGCCACTTTGGTTTGTTCCTCTACACTATGCACATCATCACCACTTTGCACTGTCATACTGAATAAGACTGATAGGGGAGGCTAAGAGATAATGGCAACAGCACAGAGTAACATGAAAACACCTGCCTTATCAGCCCACCCTCCTCAATTGAAAATGTTAACACGTTTACTTTTACTTATGTCTTTTATTTGTATTTTGCTTACTTAGATTAGATTACAGAGTTACTGTATATAGGTGGACCCCATTAAAGTATACCCTGAACACTGTTGTTATTCCATTTGGGTTTTTTTGTGTTTCTTCATTATGTTCTTTAGTGTTTGCAACATATTTTTGACCAGCAATACACTGTAGCCCAAATAGTTAACCTTAGACCAAGGTATAATATTTCTGAATGAACTCATTCATTCAGTCCCTTGCGGACAATAGGAAAGTGCAGAACACGCGATGACCCCAGCCTGCAGCAGAGGACCTTCAAGTTTCTTATGGGAAAGTTCAAGATGTATGCATCCACAACGAAGGCTTGTCAGCTTATTGACAAGAAGGGACATTAATCTTTATAGCCTTTTCAGTAGTCTTCTACTCAATGATAAAGAATTGGTTTAGACACCTCCAGTAGTTCACATCGCTCCCACAGCTGTGGAGAGCTGCATGGGAAGGACCTAGACAGCAGAGAATCAGATTAGTGAGGTTCTGCTGTAGTCATTTTATTTGACGTAGATCATAGACTAATAGCTCACCTTCCTAAGAAATTATAAATTAGCTGAAAGATCATTGCGCTGTTTAAAGTCTTTACAAATTTTCAAACATGATCTAATGTGGAAAAAAACTTTTAGAGACTTTTCTATAAATGCACTTTTTACACTTCATCATCAACTGGACAAAGAATAGCAATAAATATTTTCTATTCAAATCTAATTTCAGTGTAAGCATAAATGCATTGGTAAGCTCTAAAAGAACCTTCATAGAGAGCAATATGGAGGATACCATTGATAACCCCATTGTGAAAATTCTAGTTGTCTGCCTGTTTTACAGACTCACTGGTTTCAGTATTTTCTAAACCAGTGACCTGAAAACATATGCAATGCTTATCTGCATGTTTGTCCCAGGCCAAGGACTCCATGTATTAAAGTAAAAGAGTCAGCAAGAGAGTCAAGCAACTGGGCACTCTGCAATAGCAGCCACTTCCCCATAACAGGTGTCCTTTAAGATATAAATAATCCTAATACATTATATATATATAGTAGCAACACTAGACATAACCACATCATTATGATTGCTATCTGCATTAATTATTATTTAAAGTTCTGGCAAATTTGGTAAAGTTACAGAGGGCCTGGGATACCCAAAGAGAAGCTGTAGTGCATACATATTGCAATTAACTACGAATGTCAGGTATAAAAGCCTGTATGTATATTTATATGTAGTATTTATTGACAGTGGTGCCAGCAAAACTAGGTCCAAGAAATAAAGTAAAAGCACAGTGAATCTTTTCAGCTTTGGAAAGCAGGAGTAAGGGATTGAATCTCAAGTTTTATTACTTTGTTCCCATTTTAATTGCTTTGTCCTCAGTCACATTTTGGTTACCGGAACCAAGACGCAAAGAGGATCTTTCTAACAGGGATACAAGCAACAATAAAAGCACTTTAATTAGTGGAACATATACTTGTGTCGTTACTCTCTGGATTTCCGTTCTTTAATTTTCCATACTTCCTATTTTCTTACAAGGACAGGGAAAGTGGGAAATCTCCCTATAAAGGAAAAATGAGAACCTGACAGACATTCTATCCCTTTTAGATTTTATCCGAACTAGAAAAAAAAAGGTTTTGTCCACAGTTATACTTAAAGAGAAAAACTGGCATAAGGCGTAAGCCCTTGAGATACCTGCTCATACCTATGGTGAAATTGTGAGATGATCGGATAGTCAAAGCTCTGGAACTCCCCGAGGGCCTGTGCTGACGGGCTTTGGAATTGTATACATGTGTCGTTACTCTCTTGATTTCCATTCTTTAGTTTTCCATACGTCCTATTTTCTTACAAGAACATGGAAAGTGGGAAATTTCCCTAACAAGGAAAAAACAGAACCTGACAGACATTCTATCCCTTTTATATTTGATCCAAACTAGAAAAAAAAGGTTTTGTCCACAGTTATATTTAGAGAAAAACTGGCATAAGGTGTAAGCTCTTGAGATACCTGCTCATACAGTACCTATGGTGAAATGCTGAGATGATCGGATAGTCAAAGCTCTGGAACTCCCTGAGGGCTTGTGCTGATGGGCTTTGGAATTGTGTTTGTTTGAGACACTTCTGAGATCATTCAAAATGTACTAACAGGTGCATGTAATCTGCAGATGACCTCCTTCTAAACGGTATTTGACCAGCTTCAAGTAGGCTTTGCATTGTCATAGACCTGTTTGAAGTGCATAAAAGTCCATTGATACAGGCTCTGATTATGTTGAAATCTGTCTATCCCTTTCTGCCTCCGGTACATTCTTCTTGGGTAGTGAGGCAGTCCATTATAGTGTTAGGCCGGAAGAAATGGGTTATTGTCAGGAAAACCCAGATATGTCCGAGTGTTACTTGCAATAATGGCCTGGTACTCCAGTATTCTAAGTGCCTGTACTTTAGCAGTAGTTTTGTTCCCTCACAGGTTCTCTTTCAAGAGTGTAACTCCAGCCAAAAATTTTCTTTGTAGTTTTGCATAGAGTGGCGAAGAGCTGGAACCCCTGTCATCCCTTTGGATTATTTTTGGACCTGCTGTAGGCATGTGCAGACACCTCTAGGTACCTCCACACTATACTTGTTTGTTAGAGGATTGCTATGTTCGTTCCACTGTATGTAGGAATGTACCCATCCTCTCTTGCTTGCTCCCAAGATGGACTAAGGACTATAGAATATAGGATCTGTAGTGTGCATGGAGCAGTGCTCATGACCACAACTAATGAATGCTATTCATTTTAAATAAATGGAAGTGAAAGGGACACATTGGAGAATAAGGATATCGTTTGGTGTCACTTCAAAGCTCATTGCCAAGGAAATGCTAACCTCCTTCCCTCCCACTCCCCTCTAAATGATCACTGGCATGATAAAAAACAAAATCAAAATACCCTTTTTACTTACCTAAAGCTGTGGTGACATGATGCTCCAACTCCTAGTCTTCTCTCCCCATCTGCAGTGCTGGATTAGTGGTCAAAGAAATGCAGACAGTGAAGGACCCAGAAAGTTAACATAGGCTAGGTTCACACTGCTGTGATCTGATTGTAATCAGACTTATAGTGTGATCATGTAGTGCAACGTGGAAGCAACTTTGATGCTACTTTGAAGTGGTTTTCATATTCTATGGGTCCAAAATTATGCTGGAATCCCACCAAAGTATTACATGAACCTTCTCCAAAATTGTGCCTTGCTGTGTTTCAATGGGCATCATTGAAAACAATGTGATTTCCATTGTCATGAGATTCTGTGTGACACAAGTTGCATCTGAAATCGCACTAGTGTGAACAGAGCCTCAGGTGAATATATCCTGATTCAGGTACAAAAAAAAAAAACATGCCAGAGGGATTGGATAGGGGGTTATGTTTTGCCTAGGGACAGGCTTTAATCATTACAATTATTATGGTAACTTTTAATAAATAGCTTAAAAACTTAAAAGGTTAGGTTCACCTTTCCAAGAAAAGTTTCCATGCATTCAAGTGACCCAAGTAGAATAACTGTGCAGTTTTTAAAAAAGGATCTTTATTTGAACATTTTACGTGTAGGCCTTGGTGGGCCTCTGCCAAGCCTGTTAAAAAACTCCCATTGTGAGTAACCCAGATGCCAGGAAGTGCCGTGTGTCACCAGCAGGGCAGGAAGGAGTGCTCTATCAGGTTCAAAATCCATCCATACAGAGCGCTGTCTCTCTCCCTCTATTGCGCAACGCTGAACTCAACTGCTGCAAAGGACGAGGGAGAGGGAATGCACTGCATATGTGTGTTTTGGACCTGCGGAGCACTCATTTTTGTGGTGCTGAGAGCTCGTCTCCAACGAACAGCACATCCTGGGGTCTAGATACCATGGGGAGGACTGCTCGCACTAGGAGTTTTTCTGAGAGACTTGGGAGAGGCGACGCGGGACCAACAGGTAAGAAATTTAAAAGAAGCTCCTTTTTTAAAAGCTGCACAGTGATTTTTATTCTACTGAGGACACTCAAATGCATGGGAACTGTTATTGGAATAGTGAATGTAGACCTTTAGCCACTTGCCTACAGGCACTCCCTTCCAGCCCAGGCCAATTTTCAGTTTCAGCTGTCACACTCTGAATGACAATTGCACGGTCATGCAACAATGTACCCATATGAAATTTTTATCCTTTTTTTTTTGACAGATAGAGCTTTCTTTTCGTGGTATTTAATCACCTCTAGGTTTTTTATTTTTTGCTAAACAAACCAAAAACAACTGAAAATTGTGAAAAAAAAAGTTTTTTTCTTAGTTTCTGTTATAACATTTTGTAAATAAGTGATTATTCTCCTTCACTGATGTGCGCTAATGAGGCTGCAGTGATGGGCACTGATAGGCTGCACTGATGGGGACTGATAGGTGGCACTGATGGGCACTGATGAGGAGGTACTGGTAGGTGGCACTGATTGGCATTGACAGGCATCACTGATGGGCACTGAAAGGCAGCACTCATATATGGCACTGATAGGTGGCACTGATAGGTGTTAATGATAGGCGGCACTGACTGGTATTGATAGGCAGCACTGACTGGCACTGTTAGGTGGCACTGACTGGCACTGTTAGGTGGCACTGATAGGCAGCACTGACTGCCACTGATAGGCGGCACTGACTGGCACTGATAGGCGGCACTGACTGGCATTGATAGGTGGCACTGATAGTTGGCACTGAAAGTCAGCTCAGATGGGCACTGATATGTGGCATTGATGTGCAGTGGTAGGCACTAATATGTGGCATTGATGTGGCACTGATGGGCACTGACAGATGGCATTGATGAGCAATGACAGCTAGCATTGATGGACACTGACAGGTGGCACTGTTGGGGCTACACTGATCATCAGGGCACACTGATCATCAGTGCCCTGATGATTAGTTTACATGTCCCCTCTGAGGAATGCCGATTACCGGCTCTCCTCTCCTCACAAGCTGTCAGCGTGACAGCTCGTGGGGAGAGAAATGCCGATAACTGGCATTTCCTTATTTACATGTGATCAGCTGTGATTGGACACAGCTGATCACATGACAGATCCGACGTCTTCGGCTCTTTCCGTTGATCGGTGATCCACTGTGTTTGAGGGACACAGCGCACCCCCGATCGCCACACTGCGCGCTCCCGGAGCCGCACATGTGCAGTTAGAGTGGGAGGACGTCATATGATGTCCTCCCAGAACAAGAGAACCGCTTTGGGCCCGTCATTACCTTATATGGCGGGCGGGAGGCGGTTAAGAGTAACTCCAGGATAGGCATAAAAAGTCCCCAATTAGTACACCCACTACACAAAACACTAAACAGTTACTAAAATTTTGAAAATCCTTACCATTTAGGTAAAAAAATCTAATTGAATTTTCATGCCCTCATCTCTGTAATTCAAAAGCTAACAGCATCTGCTCTGCCAAGGAGGACGTGTAAAAGCCGGGATTACATCATGTCCTCTCCTAATTCTCTACAGTAAAAGGAAACTTCAGTTCCCATCAACCACAGGGAATTGTATGTGAAATGTATATGTTGAATGTATCTGAGAGTCTCGGTCCTCCCACCATTGCAAGTGGGGTTGAATTACATCACTGCCTCCTTGTCTTGGGAAAGAGCTACAGGAGGGATGTGGCAAGATCAGTGGCTGGGGAATAGGAGACATAGCAACAAACAGGAAGCCAAAGAAAATTAAGTTTGATTGAAAATTAATAGGCTATCGCCTATGTTGGCGCTATATAAATCCCATATAATAATAATATAATAACATACTGTAATTTCCCATATTGAAGAAAAATATATTTGAAATATATTTTTAAAATATTCTTCCCAAATATATTGACATATATTTGAAATGCTCTAATTTTCGCTACATTCAGTATATTTCAAAATATATATATATATATATATATATATATATATGAAATGTGTTCTTTATATATTACAAAATATATGAAAAATATTTTTAAAAATATATTTTTTTAAATATATTCTTCAGATTTTTTTAAACATATATATTGGAATGCATTTACAAATATATGTTAAAATATATGTTAAAACGACTTTTTATATGTTAAAAAAAATCTGTAGAATATAAATATATATTTTTAAAAATATTTTTCATATATTTTGTAATATATTAAAAATGCATTTCAACCTGCAGTGTATATATATATATATATATATACATATATATATATTTATTTATTTATTGAAATATATTTTGAAATATATTGAATATGGCCAAAATTGTAGCATTTCAAATTTATGTCAATATATTTGGGAAGAATATTTTTTAAATATATTTCAAATATATTTTTCTTCCATGTTGGTTGGTGTCACTTTAAGCACTTTTTCTTTTATTCAAGAAGAACGTTCAAAGGTCATCTACCACAGCAACCAATCTGATATCTCTTTGGGGTCAAAATGGTTGCTAAGAATTTTTTTTTGGCAAGCATTCTGCTGGCAATCTAATCACATTGATATGAATGTAAAAGAAGCTGTCTTCAGAACAGATTGCATTCTTCCAGTCTAGTATAGTTTAGGAGTCAGGTAACTTTTCATAGAGCTTCCCTCTCTTTTCTGCCCCTTCCACACATACGTCTCCTGGTCCTCTTTGCTTCCTAATGTGAAACATTGTATCTTAAAGTAAAAAAGGTGACATATGTCTAGCTGGCTGAAAGGTAATATTGGCAGGAGCGGTGGAAAGGGCGCTTTTTTCTGTCAAGTCAGGGAGTGCAGCTGCTGGGGTGTTAAATCAGGTAACAGCTGGGCTATTACTCTGCTAGGCCCGGGCTGCTGTTGTGCTGCTATCACTGCTGTTGTGACTCAGAATGCATTTCAATGCTCTCTGGTCAGTGGCACCTCTATTGTGCATCTCTGAAGCGTGCTTAGAGGCTGACACATCAAAGGCAGCACAGGCCTCTTTGGAAGGGCAGGCAGATCGGATGGCAGGATTACTTTAAATGCACCCTCTATTTTGTTGGGGGAATAAGCTTTCATCCTTTATTTTAAATTATTTGCTGCTGTGGGGGAGTTTAACCCCTAATGGCTAATGTAAAAGAAAAGTCTAGGAGCTGGCAGCAAGAAACTGTATTGTGATGGCATAGATAAATTAGAACTATTTTTTAAAAGCACAAACAGGGATCTCTTATATGTTGTCATTGTATGACTTGTTTTATAGCTGTAAATTAAAAAAATAAATGTTTTCTGTAGGCTAGGTTCACACTAGCCAATTCCCCGTGGTGTATCGATTTTCAGAGCGCAGCTGTAATAAGTGGCTTAGCCGCCGCCATCTCCGGAATGCTTTTTTTCCCTTCCCTACGGCAGTTTATATTGGGGCTAATGTGCCACAACCGTGAGCCAAGCATTTGGTTCGTGACTGTGGCACAGCCTCATTGACTTGAATGGCTGAGTTTTACAGGTGCTGCTGCCTGTCAACCCTAGCATGTTGCATTAAATTTGCTGTGTCCACAACGTAAGGCATCGCAGCCATAGCATACAAACAGATGAACAGCCTTGTCCGGATGTTGTTTAGCCTTTAGCTTGAACTGCCTGTTTTTACCCATCTCTACCCTCCCACCCTTCCTTCCAGAATGCTTGTGTGAAAGAGGCCTAATGGAATAAAGGAATTTCATAAAAAAAAAGTATATATCACAAGATTGGTAGCTCTTGGGGAGATGGGCCAAACCCGTGAGCAACATGGCGCTGTGAGGAGTAGGAGCTCCAGACTCCTGCCACATGTGACAGCTTACTGCCTTAGCTGAGGCCCGGACCAGTGCGGTGTCGGATCTCGCGGGGACCCCGAGTTCAGGCGGTCATGGTGGCAGCCGATGAGGGGAGCCGATGGTGACTGGTGCTGACCAGAGGAGCCCTTGGGAGAGTCGTGGGTGGTGGTGGTTGGAGAGGAGTGCTGAACCCCCCATACACCAACGGATTGGGAGCTGGAGGCAGCGGTACCAGAAGAGAAGGGGACGGTGAGAGCGTCCACATGTCCAACCATGTGACCATGCGACCATGTGACCACCCATGTGACAGCACAGGGGACTATGGCGGCAATTTTGAATATGACACAAGTGGTCCTAAAGGAATAGGAGAGCAGTGAGACAGCAGCCTTGGGAGACCCTGAAACACCCCAGGCCATTTGGCACAGAGTTCCCTCCACTGATATGCCTAGACCTTCCTGGAGCCTGGCTTGGAGACCTCGGCGGGGACTGGAGGTTCAGCGGGATTGGGTGGTCCTGTGCGGTCGGAAGGTAGTGGTCAGTTGCCATAGGTAACGGCAGGATATTTAATCCTTTGTTGTTTCTGATATAAACTGTTGCAATCTAAAATGCACCTGTGCACTGGGGGAAGGAGAACTATATGAGGATTACATGAGCCAGGGTGTTTAGTGGCGGGCGGAACTGGCTAGATTATTACTGCTCCTAAAGTAACACAACAGAGGCGGTAAAAGCCATCAGAAGAAAAGAAAAAAGGGTCTTTCCTTCTAATGCTAAATCCTTAAACTAAATGAAAAGTAGATCTGTTAAAGGGGGGATCAAAAACCCCTCAATCAAATGCAAATACAAGCACAATCAGAAAATACATGCCCCTGCAGGAGAAAAGCCCAGAGACCCAAACCATGGAGAAACAGCATGAAGGAATTAAAAAGTATGATGGAGATCAAGCTAGACTTACAGAAAATAGATCTTGAAGGATGGTCAGAGGGGCCAAGAGGGAGTGGAGGGCAGGGATTATGAAAATGGCAGAGGGTATCTAAGAAGAAGAAGTAGGGGGGCATGGTGTGGGTGTGAGGGGTTAGGGGGTGAGGTTTGGAGTGAGAGCCCCCCCTTTTTTTTAAATCTTTCTCTCTCTAATTTCCCCTCGGCCCTCTGCGGCCGCACCATGGTTCCCTTGCCCTCGGTCCCTTCCTTCCCGGTTTGAGATAACGGGTGAGAGAGATGGAGGGGAACTGAGAACGTGGAGTTGGCGGGCGGTCTGGAGGCCAAGAACGTGGATGATACAAGTTAAAGATTGGGGTTGGCATGCGTGTTTTGAACCTCACTCCATACTAGGAATCACTAGTGGGAATATTTAATGACAGATTCCAGGGCAATATGTAGGTCAGGAGGGTTTTAGGGTAAAGAAAGGAAGGGGGAAGGGAGGGTTGGAAATTGGGTGGTGGGTGGCAAACAGGGGGGGGGGGGGAATAAAATGGGGGGATTTGGTAGGGAGGGAAGGTAGAAAGTCCATATCTCAAAATGTCTGTATCTGTCTTTTTTATGTTGGGAAACCTGCTAGGGTAGGGAAATAATAGTGGAAATAAGCCTGATTAAGTTTATGACTTATAATGTGAAAGGGTTAAACTCCCCAGCAAAAAGACATAAGATACTTAGGGAAATTCACCAACACTCCATAGTCGTAGTGTTTCTTTAAGAGACATAGAACCCATGATACAAATGTTAAGTTATACACTAAGTACTATGCAGACTCTCCAGTTAAAAGGGCTAAAGGGGTAGCAATTGGGTTTTCAAAAAATGGGAATTTTACCCTGGAGGGAAGAATAGAGGACCCATAGGGCCGATTTCTATTTCTGAGGGGAAAATTACAAGGATCTGAATATACACTAGTTAATATCTACTGCCCGAATAAAAATCCAGTAACATTCTTGGAGGGAGTGTTAAGAAAACTTTCTGAATTTAAAAAGAGTAGTCTGGTTGTGGCTGGAGATTTAAACCTGTGTTTGGATCCTAAGATGCGTCATCTTGTACATAGACAGAGGGGGTTAGGAAATCAAAATTACTGAAGAGGTAATTACATCAGTGTCAACTGACCAATACTTGGAGAGTAAAACATCCAAGAAAAAGAGATTACACCTTCT